ATGTGAAATGGGTCCTCATGCCATTTATGACATTGGTGTCTTAGGTACCCAACTCTTTATCTAAGAGATGAGGTTCTAGTTTTAATACAATTAAGAATTGGTTATGAATGTTTTTGTCCTTTTTTTATGAATGTTTTTGTCCTTTTTTTTTAAGTGTTCAGAGGCAAGCTTTAAAAAAAAAAGATTTAATTAGATGAAATAGAGTAAAATGCATTGATCTTAAGTACACAGTTCACTCAGTTTTGACAAATGCATACACCTTATGTAACCACAGCTATAATTAAAATATGGTGTGCTTTACCCCCTATAGTGTAGAGTAGGGTTCCATTCACCCCACAAAGTTTCCTCATGCCTCTTTCTAGCAATGAAAACACTGCTAAATGGAACCGCTTTATATATGTAATTTAATACACAAACCTCCTCTGTCTTTTTGCAAACAGGTTGTTCTGGTGACAGATGGCTGTCTTGGCATTGGTAGAGGGTCACTACGACATTCCCTAGCTACTCACAATCAACGAAGTGAAAACAACAGGTTTCCACTACCTTTTCCTTTCCCATCTAAGTTATATATCATGTGCATGGCAAATTTGGAGGAGGTAATACCTTTTACTAAGTTCTTTTTAGTTCGATAAGGTATATTTTAGGGCTCAGTTTACTTTTTAGTATAGACCGTTAATACTATATTGCATATACTATAACACAGAACTCCATTGATTTCAGCTGAGGCTGATGACTGTCTATTTTTGAAAAGACTCTGGGTCTCAAATGTTCTTTGAAATTTCAGAGTGTTGCTCCATCTAGGGAACATAGCTGGAGTTGTCATGTATCCTACTGATGAGTGCTGAAGGGTCAAGGTGTTCTTTTTGGTGTTATTTCCCTCCTTGAGGACTTCTTATGTTTATTCTACCAGAAATGTTGACAGAAGTATGCTTTGATTTTTTTGGCAAAGTAGCATTACTCTGATGTATGTTTTATTAAACACTGTACTTCCTGGTTTTCCTAGTTTTCCCATTTATTTTGGAAAATTATTTAACCTTTCTTCACCTCAGTTTTTCCCTCTGTAAAATACAATGATGGTTCTTATCAAAAGGTGTTAGAAATACTTTGGAGGGAAAATGCTCTATAAATACTAACTGTGGTCATCTCTGAGAATCTTCATAAAATTACTTCTGAAGGAAATAGCTCTACTGGTGTCATTTTATATATCATTCCTCTGTGGTAAACTTGAGTCAAAATTGTTATAGTTATTTTCTTCTCACATAGGCTGTTTTAAAAAAATCATCTGTTATTTATTGCCTGTGTTATGATAAGGGCTTTGACCTTGGTGTGCTGATAATAATTTGGCATTTTGTGCCACTTTAAAGGGGTCATCTCTTGCTTTACAGCTTCAGAGCACCGATTCCTTAGAATGCCTTGAACGTCTCATAGATTTAAACAACGGTGAGGGGCAGATTTTTACTATTGATGGCCCTCTGTGCTTGAAAAATGTACAGTCTATGTTTGGGTGAGTATATGCTTATAGCTTTTCTGCCTTCTTTACAATCCAGTATTATAATTTGACATCCAGCAAGTATATCTACTTTAATATTTCTGATTATGTCCCTTCTTTTCCCCAATTTGCACAGTTTTCAGATAAAATGATTGGTAATAGTGATTTTTTTTTTTAAGGTTCATTCCCATTTAAATTAAGCATGGCTGAATCTGTAATGTCTATAGATATTGAATTCCTTACAACTCAGCAGTTTCAAAGATTAACTTGATTTGGGGCTCTTCAGAATTGAAATTTCCTCACCAGAAATGTCAGCTTTTGTTCTTTTTCACAAATGGTCAGATCTTAGTTTTGGAGCCAACTTGAAAACAAACTTTGCATCTTAAAAAACTACTTTTATATATATAACATTACTCTTCCTATAACAATTATTCTATTCTAGAAAATTGATAGACCTGGCATATACACCTTTCCATGCTGTTCTCAAATGTGGCCACCTAACTGCTGATGTACAAGTCTTCCCCAGGCCAGAACCTTTTGTTGTAGATGAAGAAATTGATCCTATCCCTAAAGTCATTAACACAGGTAACTTAAAAAAAAACTTCCTTGGTTTTTCTGTTATCCTTGTGACTTGTACTCTTCTCTCTCTAGGAGAGTTGAAAAGAAATGTATATTCTGATACAGATTGAGTATCCCTTATCCCAAATGCTTGGGACCAGAAGTATTTTGGATTTTCAGATTTTTTTTTGGATTTTGGAATATTTGTATTATACTTAGTGATTGAGCATCCCTACTCTGAAAATCCAAAATCTAAAGTGCTTCAGGGAACATTTCCTTTGAGCATCATATCAGCCCTCAGAACGTTTCCATTTTTGGAGCATTTTGGATTTCAGATTAGGGAAACTTAACCCGTACTAGGGTGCTGTTGTCATCAGCACTTGGATTGGAGGATGCATTACCTAAGGGGTAATATTGGTCTTTTATGGTGAGGTCATGACCTTGTATTATGACTAAAAGAAAGCGATATGCCACTGCTTTTACCTGGTTCGTGTTGCTTGTTCTATGCCTAGCTAAGATAGGCAAAGCGAAGAGTCAAAAATAGCAAGGAGAGAAGACTTGTCTCCTATTGGTGGGTGGATTCCTGGAGTGATGGGTACATGTTAAACCTCTTGGGGATGGCTGTCATCACTCTTTCAGTCACCATGTAGCCGTGGTACCCAGCATAGTGTCTGACGTTTGGTAGCTACTCAGTAGGTAATTGTTCAGCCGATAAATGATTAAGTGCATAGTAAATCCTCATGGTTTTGGGTATACAGATTTTAAGGAGTTTTAGAATGAAAAGCTATGAACAGGCTTTTTATTTTTTGTGTCTTTAGCTTCTGGCTCTCTTGAAGCAAGTGATCCATCTCTTTCATTATGACTAGGCAACAGTGTATTAACCTGTACCAAATGTCTTGTTGCCTTCGAATCAGTTAGATTTTCCTTCCTTCCCATCCTTTTTTGATGAATAACTTTGAATAGATCTTTCCTTTCCTATATAAACTTTTAGTCTAAGATATTTATTATAGCTTATATTTTAAAATATAGTAGGCCTTTTTCTACTCAAATGATAGATATCTAACTGCTTGTGCTGACTCATTTGTTATTCAGCTAAGGGAGGTATTAACAGCAGATCTCCAGAGAAGTACAATGTACTCACCATGATTCTGATTTTTTTAAATTGTTTTAAGAATATGGGTGTGTATTTGCCTAAAAGACCGAAAAGCAATTCAATAAAATATTAACTGAGATTTCCTTTGATGAAGAATAATGAGTGACTTTATTTCTCTTTACAATTTATATTGTTTTGTAAGTTTTTATATTATGTAATCAGAAAAAGCTTTTTGCAAAATTCTTTTGGTTACATTTATTTCAGATTTTCAACAAATACTTTTAGTCTTTAATACAGCTATAAATCAGAGAAATCATTGTCATATTTAGACTGCTTTACCTTGGTGTTGTAGAAAACGTATTTCTTTCTCAAGGAAACTTTTTTAAACATTTTTATTATTTTTTAATTAATTAATTTACTTAGTTATTTTTAGAGATAGGGTCTTGCCCTGTTGCCCAGTCTGGAGTGCAGTGGCATCATCGTAGTTCACTGAGGCCTAGAACTCCTGGGCATAAACAATGCCGCAGCCTTCCAAGTAGCTGGGACTACAGGCATGAGCCACCACACCTGGCCAGGAAACATTTTTGATGCAGTAGCTTTACTCTCCAAGGAAGGCTTATTGATTGAAGTTGTTGTGGAAGTGTTTGAATATGGTGCCCCCTGGTGACCTGAACATCCCTGACTATACAGAGAGATTTGACCTTTAAGCTTTTTGCCTTGGCTGGGGACCTAGCCTCATAAAAATAAAGTTTAGCTGATTTGTCATATAACTTAAATTCATTAAATAAAAGACAGTTATCATTTCCCAGGTTATTTAAAATGCAAATTATTTGAAACTCATCCACAGACAAGTCCAATAACTTTCCCAGCCCACCTAAGCCCACTGAAATCCCCACCTAAGCAGCGTGTTTATGAAACTGATACATAGAAAATGAGGTACTTTCCCATAGTATGAATTAATTCTATGTTGATTCCTTCCTTTCAGATTTGGAAATAGTGGGATTTATTGATATAGCTGATATTTCAAGTCCCCCAGTTCTGTCCAGACATCTGGTCTTGCCTATAGCACTTAACAAAGGTGAGTTCTCTTCCTATTCCAGTGATACACATGAAGCATCTTATTATCTAAAGTTATTCTTAAATGTTAGATAGTAGGATAAGTAGCCCATGTTGTAGAATTTAGGGCAAAGGAATAGTTACAGGACTGGATTTTTGAAAATGGAATGTTGCCTACTATACCAGAAAAGTAATTCTGCTTTTCACTGTGGAGAACATTTTGATACATACTTAACATTTGTTGGTTTGTGAATCTACAGTGGAAGTCCTCTTTAGAGATGATAATACTTAGTCCCTCATTCAGGGCTCTGCCTTTCCTAGTAGAGACATACTGAGAAAGCCATGGTAGTTATCCGAAGGTTGCTTCTGATAAATGTGAAAATCAAACACAGCTTCATAAACCACATCTGTTCTTTGTTCTACTGGTGCCAAGCACGTAGTAGATACTCAGTATATACTGGTGAATGAATGGATGAATCCAGGCCCTTGTGAGTTCTCATTACTACAGAATATGCCTCTCTAGAAACTGTAAAGTCATGTCCCCAAATTCATCATCTCTCTAGAGGACGCTAGCCTCTAGCTCTTTAAAATTCTCTTTGTCTCTGTTCTAGGCTGACCATCCACTTTATATTAATCAGCTTTCTCCAAGAAGTGTATGTAGTGAATTAGATTTCCACTTCCTGAGTTGCGATCACATTCCGTTTATGCCTAGTTATCTCAGTTGGAGTGTTGGGTATTCTGTAACCACTCAATCACACATTCACAGATGGAATCTTGCAGCCACAGATGGCTTATTGTGATCACTGTTTACAATTTACCTTATTATTCTCAGAGAACAACCAGATTTTCCTTATTTTTAAGGTCCTAGGGGAATTCTGTATGCCCATAGAATTGCCAAGAAACAAATGGAGCAAAATGGCATGTTTATGGAGGGGAAGAGCAGAAAGAAAAATATGGGAAGGCAGAATAGGGCCATATTGTAAGGGCTGTTGAATACACAGCTAAACAGCACAGATTCTTCCTATTGAATTAGCAAGTCTTTGAACAGGACTGAGCAGATATTTTCATAGGGAAGTTAACTGTAGGAAGATTCATCTGTCAGCAGGATATATGAGGGAACCTAGAGTTGGAGACAGTCCAGTAAGTAGCTTATAGTCATTGTTTACCTTTGGGGACTTGGATTCAGGCACTGCCTGATGGCTGTCAGTTAAGAACATGTCTGAGGCTGGGCTCAGTGGCTCATGCTTGTAATCCCAGAGTTTCAGGAAGCTGAGGCAGGAAGATTGCTTAAGTCCAAGAATTTGAGGCTGCAGTGAACTGTGATCACACCACTGCACTCCAGCCTGGGAGATGGAGTGAGACCCTATCTCTTAAAAAATAAAAAAACGCCTGACACCTCTGTATCTGGTTCTGTTTAAATGAGTGCCTGAAACCCCAAGATAGCATCTTAAATGAGCATTGGAGTGGAACTGTGGAAAATGGATTTTTTTTGCAGCATCTTTACTGAGATATAATTCACATATCGTATACTTCACCCATTTAAAGTGTGTAATTAAGTGGCTTTTAGTATATTTACAGAGTTATTATGTAACCATCACCTTTTTATCACCCCAGAAAGAAACCCTGTACCCTTTACCTATCAACTCCCACGTCCCCATCTCCCTAGCCCCAGATAACTACTAATAACCTTTCTGTCTCCATAGAGACCTATAGACCTATTCTGGATATTTCATATAAATGGACTTCATATAACATGTGAAAACTGATTTTTATGTGCACGTTGGAAAACTGGAATGAGTTTTTCCTACTTGTTATAATATTGCCATAGAATTCCGTACACTTTCCTTTCAAGGCTAGAAATATCCAAGAGTGTAATTGGAGCTTGGGGTTTTTATACCTAATCTCAATCTGACCTATTTTCTCTTCTTTTTACAGAAGGTGATGAGGTGGGTACTGGCATCACTGATGACAACGAAGATGAAAATTCAGCCAATCAGATTGCAGGCAAAATACCCAACTTTTGTGTCCTGCTTCATGGCAGCCTAAAAGTAGAAGGAATGGTAGCGATTGTTCAATTAGGGTAGGAAACTTTGTTTATATTTGGTTGAATGAAATGGAAAATCAGTTCACAAAGTAAAATATTTCACTGACTTTTCTGAAAGAAAGGTCCTTGTCACCTTTTTTCTCTCCCTGCCACACCATACCCACCTGCTGTTATCCTCTAAACTGCTCTTTAAATCATCCCCTGGAATAAGTATCGAATGAGCCTTTTAATTGTATTGCCTTTGTATTATGTCCTTTCTCTGTTTTCCTCTTTTTTATCCTATCCTTTCTAGGATATATGGGTTCTGGGTATAGCAGTGCTACTAGCTTGCAGTAGGATCTTAGACAGGATTCACAGACTCCTCATCTGTAACATGAGAGGGTAGAACTAAATGAAAAAAAGGTGCCGATAACATCGAGCATTTTACTACGTACCAGGCACTCCTCTAGGCACTTTTATGTTAACACATTTTAACCTTCACGACAATAGTATGCAAGAGGCATCAACATTATCCTCATTTTATGGATGAGGAGACTGAGGCTTAGAGACGTCATGAAACTTACCCAAAGTCACACAGCTAGTAAATGAAAGAGCCAGGATTCTTACCCATGCATTCCGACTGCAGAGCCTATACTCGTAACCACTCCGCCGTATTCCTTCCCTGTGAGGAAAGCTCTTCTAGCTTTAACATTCTCTGCAGTCTGAAAATCTGCAAAACTATCTGCAATAGTTTTAGAAAATAGGTCAGATTGAGATTAGCTATAATCTTACTGTAATGCCTATCGTTGGAAAAGAGGAGGTGACTGATCATCTCCTGGCCATCATCTGGGGTTGACTGATATAGAAGATCAAGGTTAGGATTAATCAGAAGAAGCATGGCCCCACTTCTGCTGCTGTTAAAATTAGCTGGTCCAGAAAGAAGAATGCAGTTCTTCTTATTAGATATTAGTCTGCCATATTTCATGGCACCCACGCTACTTGTAGTGGCCCTGAATATGAGAATCATCCGGAGCCCTTTGAAAAGCTGGGCAGAGTCTCTCTTAAGGAATGGGGTTTTGCCTTGTACCCTGTGTTGGAGGGCTTCTCTGTGTTGGTGCTGCTGTGAGTGACTCATGGAGGCAGCTGAAAGGACCTGTAGGTCACAGCCTTTACTCCCCGTCATCAGTTACTTACTGCCCTTTGTGATTTGTTGTTTCTTTGAAGACTGCTTTTGATTTCCATATATACATAATTTAACTTGATTAATAATACATGTCCCAAAAGAATGGGAGTATTATGAGAGAGCAATATACATTTTCAGGTTTAGGATTTGATTTTGGTAAAAGTTATATGCCTGATTTCAAAGCAGAAGCCTGTGTCTCTCAAGAGAAAAACACAGGCTCGCTAGGCTTATTTAATTTGACAGTTCCAGGCTTGATGCTCTTCTGATCTTCCATCTTCTCTCCATCTAGTCCTGAATGGCATGGAATGCTCTACTCCCAAGCTGACAGCAAGAAGAAATCAAACCTCATGATGTCTCTCTTTGAGCCTGGCCCAGAACCTCTCCCATGGCTAGGGAAAATGGCACAGTTGGGTCCTATTTCAGGTATAATCCCGATCAGATTTTACTTATCTTGACTTTGTTTTCTTTCTGCTGTTTTGAATATCTCTAATTGTGCAGTCAGAGAGCTGCCTGATCTCCCTTGCGGATATGCTGTGGTCTCTGATGATGCTGGATGTGTACATGGAGAACCCCAGGGAGAGTTTGACGTCTGAAGTCCTAAATTTCACAGCTCAGGGGGAACCAACATTTAGATTACTTTAAGTAAATATAAACACTTTAACTGCTTAGAGTGAAAGCTAATCTCCATAAATTTTTTTATTCTTAATGTACTATTTTCAACCCAAGTAATTTCTAGTCATTCATAGATAATTTAATCCATCTTTCTTCTTGAAACTGTTTTCCCTTAGCTTTCCTGACATGCTTCTGGTACCTGTCTGACTTTTTCTTTTATAACTTTTCCTTCTCTTGTTGTCTTGTCTTTTCTTCCTCTTGCCTCACAGTTTTGACATGTTGTTCTTTGCCTTCTTCTCTTGGGTTATTTTTCTCTCTTGGTTCTTTCATCAGCTATAATAGCTGTAGACTCCCCAGATTTGTAACTCTAGTCCCACCTCATCTCTCCCTGGAATTTGAAATATCATACTTCCAGCTCCTAGTTGGATCTCTCCACCTGGATATCCTGCCACAGTCTCAAGCTCAGCATGTTTGTTACAGACACCATCGTCCCCCACCCCTTCTCCTTAAACTGTTCCTTCTTCTGATTTTCCTACTCCTTTTGATTTAGGCCTTTGTGCTACTAGCTGTTCTGGCTCCAGCTGTGGAGTCATCCTTGACTATCTGGGCTCATTTCAATTTCAGGAACACCTACCAAGCAACCTGTTCTGTGCCAGGCCTAGGGGATAAAAGAGTTAGGTGGAGTTGCTCCAAGTCTAGTGGGAAGTAGAGTAATAAGCACAAATTAGAGTTAGCCTGTAGGGAGTGATGATCAGCTCTGCCTAGAGAACTCAGCAGAATCTTCACAGAGGAGAGAGAGACATCCTAGCTGAGTTTTGAAGAAAAGGAGGAATTAGCTGAGCTAATGAAGGAAGAAGGGCATCCTGGACAAATGGAACTCCTATAGAAAGGAAAGGAGCTGGAACACAAAATGTGGGCTTGGGCGTGGGAGGGGTAGAAGGTAGGTTGGCAGTTGGCGGTAGCTAGAGCCGAGCAAGCCTTGTCTGCAATGTGAAGAGCCAGGACTTTATCCTGCAGATACTGGGAAGCCACTGAAGAGGAGTAATGTGATCAGATCCTTCTGGCGACAGTGAGAACAGGGGGCTATCAGAGAGGAGGCTTTGTGTTCTAGGTGCTGGTGCCTCCTGGGGTTGTTCAATATGGCCATGACCCAAGTGAGAGATAAGAAATTTGCATTTAGAGACATAACTCTGTGGAGTGCAGATTTGAAAAGGCAAGGGCCTGCGGTTGGAAGTTACTGTGACAGTCCTGGAGCTATGAAGATGCAGGCCAGAATAGGGCAGTTTCTGGGGGTAAAAGATATTTGGGAGGTAGAACCAACAGTATTTGGGTATGAGAATGAAGGCAAGAGAAGAGTTGAGAATGTTCCCAGGTTTCTGATCTGGGCTGCAGGGTGGAGGTAGTACTATTAATATTAATTGAAATAGAGAAAAGAGGAAGAAGAGTAAATTTGAGAAGAACATACTTGGTGCATGTTGAGTTTGTGCCTATGAGATGTCAGTGGCGGTGCCTAGAGACAATTCGGTAGGAGTCTGGAGTTCAAAATAGAAGGCAGAGTTGGGGATATAATTTTTAGTTGTGTGTTGCCAATAGTTAAAATGTTGAGAATGAGGGAGATTGCTTAGGGCAGTGGTTCACAAATATGAGTTTTTGTGTACAAAAGTAAAACTGGAAGAAATAGTGCATGTTCTCACTCATGTGGGAGCTAAAACAATTGAGCTCGTAGAAGTAGAGAGTAGAATTGTGGTCCTTAGACGCTGGGGAAGCCTAGTGGGGAGGGGCGGATAGGGAGAGGAAATGGATACAAAGCTGTAGCTGTAAGAGAGGACTAAGTTCTGGTGCTCTGTAGCACTGTCGGGTGAATATGGTTAATAATTTAGTGTATAGATTCAAAAAGCTAGAAGAAAAGATTTTAAATGTTCAAAACACAAAGAAATGACAAATGTTCAAGGTGATAGACATGCCAGTTACCCTGATTTGATCATTGCACATTGTACATTTGCATTGAAATATCATTCTGTATCCCATAAATAGATACAATTATTACATGTCAACTCAAAATAAATAAATAAATAAACCTGGAGAACTTGTTTAGAAATCTCAGTGGGGCCAAAAGATTCTGATTCAGTAGGTCTGGAGTCAGGTCCAACAAAAGTATTTCTTCTCTTGTCCTTTTCCTTAGTTTGGCTATATATAATTTTCCTCTTTAATTTTTTTAATGTCTAGACTTATGCTGTCTAATCCAGTAGCTACTAGCCACATGAGGCTATTTAAATTTAATTAAAATGAAACAAAGTTTAAGTTTGACTCAGTTCCTCAGTCACGTGAGCCACCTGTGAAGTGCTCAGTAGCTAGTGGCTACCCGATTGGACAGCACTGGTTTAGAACATTTCCATCACCGCAGAAGGTTCTGTTGGAGAGCTCTGGGCTAGACTATATAGAATTGCAGTATATATGTACATACATATTTTTGAAATGTGTATTTTACCATATATGTGTATATATTTTACTATAAAATGTGTATATTTACTATATAAAGCGGATAAATGAAGCTTGTTTCTTTAAAAACATTAAGCTGTTTTCACTTACATGGGCCTCAGTTGACTGGTTTCTTACATCAGTGGCTTTCTATTGAGAACTGGTCCCCCAACCTGACTGAAGTTAATGGATTTTCTTAATTAACAAAGTAATAGGATTTAAAAGATTGAGTGATTCAAAGAGCTTCTAGCCTAATTGGAAATGTAGTTGATTGTGTTTTGCCAGATGTCATTTCAAGAATGTCTTTTTCTTTTAAGATGCCAAAGAAAACCCTTATGGTGAGGATGACAATAAGAGCCCATTCCCCCTGCAGCCCAAAAACAAACGCAGTTATGCCCAGAATGTGACTGTCTGGATCAAGCCCAGTGGCCTGCAGGTAATATTACCATTATGTTGCTTTCCCCCGGGGACAGGAGGAGGCATTTGGGCAGGCAGGCAGACATTTGATTGATTTTCCTTTCCTTTGATACTTAGAAATTAATTTACTTCTAATGTTTGTCATAATTTCCAAAACGGATTTGAGGTAAATCATTTTTTTACAAAATTTAAAGCAGTAAGAATCCTAGAGGAAGAAGGGAAGACAATTGTACCAGGAAACTGAGGCAAAAAGATTGATAATTATATTTGTGCAGTTTGGCTCTGAGCTTCCTGCTACCGAGGTCGAATAAGAAACATGTTGGGTTATATAGTTTTTCTTGTCTGATAAAAGGAAGCATGTCAATTTGTCTAAGGAGGCACATTTTCCTGACATTGAAATTTAACATAAAATTTTTTTCACATGGTGAGGCATTGAATAATATAATGGGCGTTGTCTTTAATAGCAGTTTTGAAAAAGATTTAAAAGTCTTCATATGGTTATTTCTTCTATGGTATTTCTTCAGTAGAACACAAGCCAGGTACTCAGCCAAGGTACTCAGGGACATGTCTCCCTTCATTGACATAAAGTCATTTATACCTGTTTTTAAAAATCATTCTTCATACTTTGTTCTCCTTTGAGCACCTTTATTTACATTTGTTCCTCCAGTGAGTCCAGCCTAAGCCAAATGAAAAGAGGCAGTCAGGCCAACTGGACAACAAAAGTGGTTGTTGACTGCATAGTCCCTTTGAGCTCTCTCAAAGAATGAACCATATCTTGCCATGGCTAAGCGGGCAAAGGCCTCTTTGTTGGAAAATCGAAGTCTTAGTTTTTCCTGCTGTCCCTGACCCCAACACCTCCTTGTCAGAAGGATAATTATAACCAATTCTACCACCAGTTATATAGCTGAGTTTTTCTTAAGTTACTTTTTAAATTTTGTTTTGGTCCTGAGTGTATTTGTTTTATTTTGGTAAAATACACATAACATGAAAAGTACCATTTCAACCATTTTCAAGTGTACAATTCAGAAGCATTGAGTACATTCACAATGTTACACAACTATAACCACCCACAATCTAGTTCAGAACATTTTAATCACCGCAAAAGGAAATACTTTGCTCAATCCCATCAAACAAGTCATTCCACATTCCCCACTTCTCCCAGGCCCTGGCAACCACCGATTTGCTTTCTGTCTCTGTGGATTTACCTATTCTAGACACTGCATATAAATGGAATCTGTGGCTTTTTGTATTTGGCTTCTTTCAGTTAGCATGTTTTTGAGGTTCATTCATGTTGTAGCCTGTATCAGCACTTCATTCCTTTTTATGGCTGAATAATATCCCATTTTATGCCACACTTTGTTTATCCATTTTTATCCATTCAGTTGATGGACATGAGGGTTACCTTTTGCTTATTGTGAATGATGCTGTTATGAACATTCGTGTACGTGTTTTTGTCTGAACACTTGTTTTCAATACTGTTGGGCATATACTTAGGGATGGGATTGCTAGGTCCTGTGGTAGTTCTATTTAACTTACTGAGGAACTGTCATACTTTGCACAGCAGCCGCACCATTTTGCATTCCCACCAGCAATGTATAAGTGTTCCAGTTTCTCCACATCCTCACCAGTACTCATTATTTTCCATTAGCCATTGTAGTAGGTGTGAAGTGGTATGTCTTTGTGGTTTTGATTTGCATTTCCCTAATGACTAGTAATGTGCATCTTTTCACCTGCTTATTTTCCATTTGTATATCTTCTTTGGAGAAATGTGTCTACTCGGGTCCTTTGTCTATTTTTTAATTGGGTTGTTTGTCTTTTTGTTATTGAGTTCCTTTATATTCTAGATAGTAGACCCTTAGCAGATATATGATTTGCAAATATTTTCTCCCAATCTGTGGGTTGTCTTTTCATACTCTTGATAGTATCCTTTGATGGACACAAAAGTTCTTAGGTTTTGTGGGGTTTTTTTTGAGACAGAGTCTCGCAGTGTTGCCGGGGCTAGAGTGCCGTGGCGTCATCCTAGCTCACAGCAACCTCAAACTCCTGGGCTCAAGCAATCCTCCTGCCTCAGCCTCCCAAGTAGCTGCGACTACAGTCATGTACCACCATGCCCGGCTATTTTTTTTTTGCTATTTTTAGTAGAGACAGGGTCTCGCTCTTGCTCAGCTGGTCTTGAACTCCTGACCTCAAGCCATCCTCCTGCCTTGGCCTCCCAGAGTGCTAGGATTACAGGCCTGAGCCACCACACCCAGCCAGAAGTTTTTAGTTTTGATGAAGTCAAATTTATCTATTTTTTGCTTTTTTTGCTTCTACTTTTTGGTGTCATAACTAAGAGATCATTGCCAAATCCAAGGTCATGAAGATTTACTCTTGTTTTCTTGTAAGAGTTTTATAGTTTTAGCTCTAACATTGAGGTCTCCGATCCATTTTTAGTTAATTTTTTATATATGGTGTGATGTAGAGGTCCAACTTAATTCTTTTGCACGTTGGATATACAGTTGTCCGAGCACCAATTATTGAAGAGACTATTTTTTCCTCATTGAATGGTCTTTGTAAAAAAGCCGCTGGCCATGGATGTATGGTTTTACTGAGTATATTTTTGTGAGATGAGTTCATTTCTGTTAAGGGATTTCTTTTATCATCAAGGCTTTTGAAGGAGGGAGTGCTTTATTAATTTTTTATTAAAAGAACTCTAACATTAACTGAGAAGGGATCCTTATCTCGACTTCATACCTCTGTCCTCATTCACATTTCTTTACCGTCGAGAGCCATCCTTTTGTAGTCTTCCCCCTTTTTTACCACAGAATTCTAATACTGGATTTTTTTTTTACCCTTAATAGACAGATGTACAGAAGATTTTAAGAAATGCGAGGAAACTACCTGAAAAAACACAGACATTCTATAAGGTGAGACTGTCGGAATTATAATGGAAGAGGGTGTGCCCAGGGGATGTGCCCAGAGTAAATGGTTCACAGTAGTAAACGTGCGAGTGGCAGTGTGAACATGGGCAGGGATTCGACACAGGACTTGTCTCAGTTTTTTCATCCAGTCAAGTCAGTAGAAGTGATAGGTCTGTTCCTGCCCTAAAATCCAATAATCGGAAGGTTTAAATGGCCTTGTTCTGTGCAGCAGGTGGGTTTCTGTGTTGGTGGCTGAGGGAGGCAGCGGAAAGGACCTGTGGGTCATAGCCCTGAACCCTCCTCATCGCTCCCATAGGGGCATCCAGTCCAACCCCTGGCAACCAGCGTATGTGGCTTCTTGCGATGAGGAGTTGCCCAGAACATTCTTACTACACTAGAGAAACTGCTTCCAGGAATGACTTCTAAAATTACAAATTTATGAATTGCAAAGGGGGTGGCCCTTCAGAATCAGAGCTAGCTAATCCAGAACCATCGGTGAAGAAATTATTAAGTTACAGGGGTGAGGTTGAGTGGGGGGTGTTTAGGCTTAGTCCTTGTTTCTCCCGTCCTTCTGGTGTTTGGCTGGAGTTAAATTAAGTGTGGCAGAAGGTGTGCTGTGTTGTCATTTGTGTCCTAGCTTGCTAATCCTAAAATATGGCACACACAGCCAGCCTCAGGCTAGCCTCTCTTCCAGAGAACATAGGTGCTGCTTTGTCTGGGTGTTATCTCATTACCTTTGTTACTGTTGTCTTCAAACCTGATTATGTAGCAAGCTGGTAAAATCAAGCAAAAGCAGCTTTATTTAATCAGCGTTCAACCAGAGAGCTTCTCGGCCAGCCCCACCCCTCCCTCACTGAAGCCCATAACCCACAGAGGCCCTGGGCCGCACCCCGTGGCTGCAGCCCAGCTCTCCACAGAGCTTTCTACACACGGTCATCACTATTTGGGGTGACACACT